GACTAATAGCCCTAAGTCACCCTACCCACGTGCCAGTGGACACAGGTTCGAATCTTGGTCAAGCCAGGCCCTTTGTGAGCCCTCTGGGTGCTTGCAGCAATAGGGCTAACGTTCATCATAGATTGACAGTGAAATAAATGAGTTTCAGCATATGGACCTTCAGCCAAGTCAATGATAGTATTAAGGATAGCAGCAGATTCATAGTCAAAGGAAATCGCAGGGCATCAATATACTATTGAAGTTAACCTAAAAGACCATAGCCAACCTAAAAACAAAAAAATCAAATCATCATAATGGTAACTATCCACCGGGAAAGATTAGGTTGGTAATTTACTCATTGTTCACATTGACGAACAGATTGTGAATAAAATTAGACGACATAAAATAAAATGTTTTATACATATAAAACAATTAATTCACATAATATGTGAAAATCAAAAACATAACCTATTGGAAAATGTATGGGGCAGGTAGAAAACGAAAATACCGAATAGATACCGAAGTAATAAAAGTACCGGGTAGTTTGTCAAGTACAGTTCAAAGTACAGTTGAAAGTAAACGCTCTAGACAAAAACATCCGAAGATGAACAGAGGACAACGTTTAAACTACAACGCGCTATTGGCCGTCAGGAAGATAGCCGGGCGTTGTCGCAGAATAGAACTAGTTGGAGGTAAAAATTTAGCACTGTATTTTAAGGAAGCTCACGCTCATGCAGAAGACCTGGAAGCCATAGTTTCCTGGAAGGATCTGGAAGCTGAAATCAACAGGATCCAGATGTTGAAGCCTTCTTCAACGTGCACCACGTCCACGAGGAAATTACAGGAAAAGTGCTATTTCTTAAAAATGGACATAAAAGAATTTTATAATATTTTTGGAAATATCTCCAAGAATTTATGCGTAATATTTCGCTCGGTGAAGAACTTTAAAGAATCGATGACTCCAACAAAAAGAGGCGAGTTGGTAACTCGCTTTTGCACCAACACACACGATTTATTTGAAGCCTGGGAGGAGCTATACCTAAGATTGATAGATCTAGAAGAGATGATCCAACCAACGGAAAACACCCGAGTCATAGTAGAAGACCAAATTCAACAGTTACGTGAGTTCCATGTCTACAGCAGAAATACAGAGAAACAGAAATCCCTCATGTCAACGAATACACAGATCAGGGAGCGTCTGTTAAAAATAAGGAAGAATAACAGAAAATTGCATGTGATTCTTCGTGAATTAGATTTCGAACTGTCGGACGATGAGTTAGAAAAAATAAAAATCGTGAAGAATGTAATAGTTACCAGAGATGACGAAGAGAGTATATCGAGTCGATCGATAAAATCGTTTGAGAAACGCTTCAAAAAATTTAAGGTGAAAAGTCAGAGTTTTCGCCTAGAAAATGTACAAAAATGTTTGGAACATGAAAAAACCTTTATGGAGTTTTTGTCGTCAGAAAACATATTTGTGCCCGACTTAAAAATGGACACGATCATCGCGAAACAAATGGCGGACTTCTTTGAAAATGTCCTGCATGATTACATAACGTACACTAACGAATTGAATCTCCTGAAAATTGAATTCAATGAGCAGTGGAATTTGTACACATTATCCTAACTTTATTTATTTCATTTCATTAGATTCTTTTATATATTTTATATTTTTCTATATATTTATATAATGTTTATACCTTGTTTATTTTCTATAGTTTTATTTACTTTTTATTAATGGGCTAATTGTGCAGGCACAGTTGATCTTTTATTTGTAAATTTGCTTTATTTTATTTTGTATCCGTTTTTTGGTCAATAAATTTGATTATTGTTAATATTATTTTTATTTATTTTATTTTATTTAACCCAATATTTTTGAAGTTATGTAAACTTATTAATAAAATCATACACATACTGATATTATTCCTATATACATTTTTTTTTTAACTATTAACTACATTACTTCTCTTATTAAACATTGAATATTATAAATTAAAAAGTATTCATAACAACTGAAAAAAATCATTTATAAATTTAAAATTTCTTTCCACTATAATTTCAACGTTTGTTACTGTTAATAATATTAATTAAATATTAATTGTAATGATTATTTATTTACTTTTTTAATTGATCAATTTGAGACCAAAGTAATGATGAAATACTTATATTATCAATTAAACTAGTAGTAAAAACTAACAGATTATTGATAAAATCGCTTTATAATCTCGATAAATCAGCTGCAACTTGGCTATATAACAAGTAACTTATACTTGGCTATTTTAATGAATACTTGCCAAGTTTCAAGTAACATTCATTCATTTTACAAAAAAAAATAGTAAAAACGAAAAAATTATTCAAATTTATTGAAAATAAATGTTGCCTATAGAAACAATGCAGTTACCTGATTTTTTTACAAGTTTAATCCATGTTTAATTGTAGTATAAATGTTTATTACTCTTTGCAGTAATTATGTTGTAAATATTTCTTAGAATCATAAAAACTAACAGATTTTTGATAAAATCGCTTTATATCTCATCCACGTTTCGATAAATCAGCTGAAACCGTATAAACCAATCTTAATAATGAGCATGGAAATAATGGATTTTCTTTCAATTTTATTGAATTCATAGATTTTTTTGAAAATTCTTGTACTAAATTACATTCAATATGTAAGCTATGTACTAAGCGATATGTATATATATAACAAGTTACTTATACTTATCTATTTTAATGAATACTTGTCAAGTTTCAAATAACAATCATTCATTTTACAAAACAAATAGTAAAAACAAAAAAATAATTCAAATTTATTGAAAATAAATGTTGCCTATAGAAACATTGCAGTTTACCTAAATTTTTACAAGTTTAGTCCATGTTTAATTGTAGTATAAATGTTTATTAAATTACATTTTAGCTTTCAATATGTAAGCTATTTACTAAGCGATATGTATATGTATATATATATAACAAGTAACTTATACTTGGCTATTTTAATGAATACTTGCCAAGTTTCAAGTAATATTCATTCATTTTACGATGAAAAAATAGTAAAAACGAAAAAATTATTCAAATTTATTGAAAATAAATGTTGCCTATAGAAACATTACAGTTTACCTAAATTTTTACAAGTTTAGTCCATGTTTAATTGTAGTATAAAAATGTATTACTCTTTGCAGTAATTATGTTGTAAATACTTCTTAGAATCATGTTTGTTATGGAAATTTTTGCTATATGAAAATGTCCTGCATGATTACAAAGAAACTATAGTTTTATTTACAATTTATTTATGGGCTAATTGTGCAGGCACAAGGAATATAACAAGTAACTTATACTTGGCTATTTTAATGAATACTTGTCAAGTTTCAAGTAACATTCATTCATTGTACAAAAAAATAATTCTAATTTATTGAAAATAAATGTTGCCTATAGAAACATTAGAGTCTACCTGAATTTTAACAAGTTTAGTCCATGTTTAATTGTAGTATAAAATTTATTACTCATTGTAGTAATTATGTTGTAAATACTTCTTAGAATCATGTTTGTCACTGACATTGGGTACATGGATAATAAATGGGGGGTTGCTATTGAACTAAAATTCCTAGAACTTTAACTGCAGCACGTATAAAAGGTAATGTCTTCTTCTCAAAGACTACATTTCAAATCAAACGCTCGAATCGAGAAGACCGAAAGATGAACGTCCTGGCTTACCTAAAACTCGACATCGTTCACGAAGATTCGCACCGGAATCAACAGTTAACATTGATCAAACACGTAAACGAGAGATGCCAAGAAGTGAAGCAGATCTGCCCGAAGAAAGGAAAGAGTTTAAAACCGCAAGTGAACGAAATGCACAAATTGGCCAAAGAGTTGAGTTATTACATGCGTGATAAAGATTTAAGAGAGGAATTCAAAATCGTCGAAGCTTTAGAGCCATCATTCCTGTGCGTCATAAGAACGAAGAGGATCAAGAAGAAATTGAAAATCCTCAATGAAGATATTGAAAACTTCTACAAGATTTTCGGATCCGCAACCGACGATTTAGTTGCAATCTTCAAGATGCCGAAGCACTGGAGGAACTCGAAGAGACCGGCAGAGCTTCGCGACTCATTCATGATAAATCGTTTCAGCGCGCACGCCGAAGACGTTCTGGAAGCGATCACTGATCTCGACCAGAGACTGCAAACGTTGAAAGCGATGATTCAACCTTCAGAAGATGCTTCGATGATGCGAGAAGAGCAGCCCGTGGATCAATTGGAGAACGTTCACGTGAACGGCGAAATCATCGAAAAACTCTTCGAAACCAACGCTGGTACCAAGAGAGATATGATGGAGATGAGGAAGTGCAACAGGAAAGTAAATCTGATATTGCGAGAGGAAGATTTCCAACTTTCCGATTACGATTTGCATCGTCTGAAGATGATCAAAGGTCTGATGGTTTATTGGGAAGCCAACTGTGGGATCGTGTCGCCTTCCAGTCTCAAGCTGAGGATGTTCAATGATCTTTTACTGAAATTCAAAGCGGAAACCAAATGCTGCCGTTTGAAACACCTGAAGAAGTGCTTGGAATACGAGACATTCTTCCTGGCCGAAAACGTCTGCAGGTCTAAAGAAAATCGGGATGTGCTGATAGTCCAGAAGATGGCTTCATTCTTCAAAGAAGTCCTAAACGAGTACAAGATGTGCAGCAATTATCTGGAGATCGTAAAGACCAAACTCGACAAAATTTGGGATTACTACATGTAATTCATAGCAACATCTTTAATTTATTTATAACTTTAATTTTCGTTTCATTTGATATATTTTAATTATTTTTGTTTTCTATCTGTTAATTATTTATAATATTAAGAGTTTTAAATTGTACGTGAATACAACAAAAATATTGAATTCTTCAATTCCATACATTGAAAATAAAATTCGTTGCTTCTATCAGCACCCTAAGAAAAAGAATGTTCTACAAAGTTTTTGCCCAAAAAAAAAAACTGGGATATAAATAGCGAATTCGCAAACGATTCCTTCTTTTCATTACTAACAAGCACTCATTGCACATTTACCACCGCGACTCTAGGTAATTATTTCCTTGTTTCTTTTTTATTTGCTTTTACAAAACTATCCTTGATTCTTTTTAATAGTTTAATAAGTTTATTGGGATTGTATTAAAAAAAACAGATTTGCAAATGAAAATTTGTGTTTATTTTATGATTGATGTTTCAGATCGAACTATGGCGTGCAGCAAGAACTTTTTCCCATCTGATAATTGTAAGTTTTCTTTGGGCGTTGTGTGAGATTATCTGTAATAATTGATGTTTTAGGTCCAAGTGTCGTAAAAGATACTAGCTCCACGCCAAGTGTTGATATTCATGAACTGATGAAAGATTTGAATATCCGATTCGATGAGTCGCACCCTAACCAATCCGTGATGGTTTTGAAGCAGATCGCGTTGCAGAGTAGGGAATTACTAACGATTTCGAAAAAGGAATCGCCCGAGAGAATGACGAGAGATATGGTCGTGATCGTGTGCGATTTAGCGATTGAATTGCTTAGAATATTAAGCCAGAAACATCTGTTGCAAGAATGGAGGCGGCTCGACGATATGCCGCCCAGAGATGACTACAACGTGTGCTTCAGTACACTTATGGTGAGGATGGACAAATTGGCTAACGACTTGAGAGAATTCTACAAAATTTACGAGTCTCTGTCCAGAATGTTGATAGATGCACTCGAGTGCTTAAAGTTAGAAGACAATCGGTTAATATCGGAAGGTTTCACCGAGTACAAGATCGTTAATTACTTCTGTTTGCACGCCGAGGAGGTGTACGAATCTATGCAGGAGCTGGAGAAGAGGATGCATTCTCTGAAAGATCTGCTTCAGCCGCCAAAGCACGGCATCGTCAAGAAGGACGATCCACTGGAGGATGCGCGAGTTTTGCAGAAGGAATGCGGCATAATCTTTGAGAAATTCTTGACGAACACGGCGACCGACATCGATGTGGCGCATCTGAGGAGGTTGAACAGACGGATGTACCTGATTGCACGCGATTCCAACTTCGTGGACGTCACCGAGTTGGACACCAAACAGCTCTCGGTGATCAAAGGCATCAACAGATTCGATATCTACTTTAGCTTGATGCGGTTCCTCTTGAGCGAGGAGGAACTCGAACATGTGTCCGTGCTTGAGATTCGCCTGAATGATATCAATGATTCCATAGAAGAACTGAGGAGCGACACCATGAAAGCATGTTTTGAATGCCAGCAGAAATGCTTCTCGCACGAGAAGCACTTCCAAATATTAACATCTAAACAGAAGTTTAGCAATCCGAACCTTTGGGAAGACCCAAAATTTGTCGAAACCATCAACGATCATTTCGCAGGGATGGTCAAACAGTTTCAAAGTTTCTACTATCGTGTAGTAACGATCAGGAATAGGATCCGTAAGCTTTGGGACGCCCAAGTAGATGAAGAAGATAAATGCCAATTGAGTCATTAATTGTATTTATAACTTATTATACTTTCCCAAACACTGGTATTATGTTCTTTTCTTTACGTCCATCCTTTTAAAGCTTTCTCTGTTTTTTTCTTTCTGGCGTTATTCATTTACCAAAATGGATTGATTTTCACCCCCTGTTCTCTATATTTATTTTCCGACGTTCGATGTCCGGGGCGCAAAAGCAACCCTCGCATATTTGACAGGCGATTGATGGCAATCCTCCTTAAGATGACTGCTTTTCGTGGCTTCCAACCCATCCAATATTTATACGCCGGGAAACCCGAGACAGGATTTGCTTGTTCCATGAACACACCCAATTCAAAGTCCAAATTTTCAACAAATATATACAAAAAAAAACATTCCACTTCGTCTAACCAAGAGGTTAAACTACCAGCAATGTTTAACATTTGAATATTATATTAATACAATTGCAAACATCAATTGTATTCTGTTTACTAAAGTCTAATGTAGTCTCACGTGCTTAGATACAAGTATTTCAAGTTTTAATCAAGACTTTATTACTTATACTAATTCAAGTCACTCATCATCAAATCAATTTCCAAAACAGTTAAAGTTTATTAACTAATGCAAATATATTCAACAATCTAATTATTTTGTATTATGTCGTATAAAATTTATTTTTACAAACCAATAAAGTAAGTTAGTTTTATATGTATGCACGTATACAATAAATTATCTAAACAAATCTAGATTTTATTAATTTGAGTTTAATTTAGATAATTATTAAATCAAATATTAAATATAAATAAACGATTTTTAAAAAAATTGTTGAAATTTGTTTTTGTAGAAATAAAAATATATTAAACATTCTCATATCAAATATTAAAAAATAAAAAACTATATTGAAAACTGTTTTTAAGCAACAAAAATGCACGTTTCTCAAAAAAATCCAGTGAAAGTGAATTTATTCTATACTTGTATTGATTCCAACGACATTTAAATCAATACTAAAAAGAAGAAAACTACACCAAAAAAAAAAGTAATGCCGCTCCAAGAAAAATGTAAGTATTGAGTTTAATTATTGAACTTTGACAAATTTTTGAATGTCCTGCAGTATATAAATATCAAAAATGGAAACATATCAAAAATTGTATTATTTAAAATTATTTAGTTTGTTGAACATTTAAATTTGTATACAAAAAAATATATATATGATCATAAATTTAGTCTCATTATTTCATGAAATCTACAAAACTTTCATCACTATAGGTTTAGTATTAATTTGTTCAAATTTTAATTTATCTACAAAAAATTTAAATCATTCTTTCATCGTACATTATAACCGGTGGCAATCGCAAGACCGACAACCGAAATCCCGACTATATCGAAATCCCGACAGTGTCTTTTATTATTATAAATTTCTACAATAACATTTTTATGGTAGTCGGGATTTCGATATAGTCGGGATTTTGATTGTCCGGATTATGGTAGTCGGGATTTTGACATAGCGTCGGCATTTTAATACAGCCGGGATTTCGAACGTCGGGATTTCGAAAGACGGGATTTCGGTTGTCGGGTTTGCAATATAAATCCCATTTTAACATTATTAATTTACAGATATTAATTTTTCAATTCATATCTTCAACATACAATTATTGTATGTTTCCATCCAAATTCTTCTCTCACACATTAAATATATTTTCTATATTTCTTTCAATTTAAACTCATGAATTCGCAATGATCGCACCCAAAATTCTCAATTACACCCAAATGCACACGCACATCCGACCAACCAAAATGCACGTATTATTAAAAAAAAGTTTAATTGGACGAATTCCTGCGAGCGCTTTTAATTAATTCATTTCGCAATCCGCCCACGCCCTACGCCTCTCTCTCATTCATTAATTACGAGAAATTCGAGCGCTTAATCAAAATATTAAATAATACAACAAAAACAACCAAAAAATATATATGATGAGAAAGAGAGACAGCATCCATTGTCCTGCAGTATTAATTAGAAATCTGCTAATTAAAACCGGACTTAGAGATTAGCCAATCATAATTTGTTTTTTTAGACAACTTTGTTTTAATTTAATTAGTTGACGCTGCATTTTTATATTTGACTCCTCGAAACTTTTAATTAAGAATTTTAATTTACAATTTTTATTCGCGTTTTAGAGAACTTTGTAAATCGCTTCTTTTTTTATTACAACCGATTCGGATGCACTTGATAAACATGCAAAGCCTTTTAAACGAAACTTTTCCAATATATTTCCATCTTCTTTATCTTCCTTAAGTATTTGCATATTTTTCAAGTGAGAAGTCTATAAATCCCCAATACCTGCCACTTCTTTCTTTAATACACAAATATTGCACACAAATATTTTTCCTCAAATTTTCTTCCCCAAATATCCAATAAATCAAAAATTGGATTTATTACTTATTAAACGTAACTTTCCTGTTGTTAAAACTTTATTAATTTAAATCAACTTAAAACGAATTTCGTTACTGAAAAGTTCCAACTTTGCAAGTGTTTAAACTACAAATAAATTAAAAGTTTTTTTTGTGTTGTATGAATTAACCTGTATATTATTACTTGTACTAATTCAAGTATTTATAGAATCATCAAATTTTTTAAAGAAAAAATAATCAATTCAATAATCCATACAATTATTAAAATGTACAGACAATAATTAACAAAATTCGAAATTAAAAATCGTGTTGACATTAAAATTAAACCCGATGTTTTGACGCTGTTGAACTAATTACCATTCAATTATTCGCAATTCCGACGAATTAGTGTTTTCCGCACGGAAAAATGGACGAAAAACGCGAATATTATTCATAATTCCGGGGCGCACTTGATCCAATAAAACGCGTTAATTGCGATGAACGCTAATTGCGATTTTTTCTCAAATTTCCTTCCACCAAATATCCAATAAATCAAAAGTTGGATTTATTACTTATTAAACGTAAGTTTCCTGTTGTTAAAACTTTATTAATTTAAATCAACTTAAAACGAATTTCGTTACTGAAAAGTTCCAACTTTGTAAGTGTTTAAACTACAAATAAATTAAAAGTTTTTTTTGTGTTGCATGAATTAACCTGTATATTATTACTTGTACTAATTCAAGTATTTATAGAATCATCAAATTTTCTAAAGAGAAAATAATCAGTTCAATAATCCATAAAATTATTAAAATGTACAAACAATAATTATTAAAAATCGTGTTGACATTAAAATTAAACCCGATGTTTTGACGCTGTTGAACTAATTACAATTACATTCAATTATTCGCAATTCCGACGAATTAGTGTTTTCCGCACGGAAAAATGGACGAAAAACGCGAATATTATTCATAATTCCGGGGCGCACTTGATCCAATAAAACGCGTTAATTGCGATGAATGCTAATTGCGATTGTTCGCTTTCATTATTTCATGATTCTTTCATTTTCTCTTATTTTCTTCTTCAAGCTATAAGCTTTCAGTCCTGAATTTGGAGAATGTACACATTTGTCGTTGATATTATTATTGGGTGGTTGGCGGGAATTCGGGTGGAAGGGTGGGTTTTCGTTTTGGTAATGGAGCCAGATTAGGGATTGCGTGTGTCGCTAAGTCCTGACTGCTGTGCGAGATGCAGGGGGGCGGCTGCGGCGGTGGCGCCCTCCGGTTTCAATTACCGGTATTATCGTCGCCGTCTCCGCTTTAAGTGCCTACCCCCATTGCATAATTGTGCGACTAAATCTTCCCGGGAGCAACATTCGGACAAGCAACAAACCCTTCGTCAAACCATTAACCAAAGTCTTAAGGGAAGGCGACAACAGACTGTCCTATTAACCCTTAGAATTGAAAAAAAACAACATCGAAAACTGACTTGAGAAACGTTTAAACCCATTTAAATCACTTGCAAACATCTACAATAAATATTAAAAATTATGGTACAAATAGGACCCAAAACAATACCCTGGTGGAAATCATTTTGTTACAAATTATAAATTAAAAATCTAAAAAATTTGAATTTCTTAAAAAATTTACCATTTAATGTAAAAGCAATGTAATTTTAATTAACATTTGTCCATTTACCATAATGAAAGTTAAATAAACCGCGCTTTATGATGTATCCAATTTGCAGATTATTACGAAAATGAGAGGGAGAAAGCCTCAATTTAATTAAGTTGTAAGGACCTAAAGGACATTAACTTGAAGCTAATATCCAAGGACAAAAAATAAATAAAAGCGCGCACACTGCGGGCGATATAAAAAAAATAGGGGGGAAAACATATAAAAAAAAGGGCATACATTAGATCCCTTTTCTACCCGCAAGGGATGATAATAGTAAAAAAGAAAAAGGGCAAAACGGATGTAAACACACAAGCCAACTTTAATTCCTGGCCGAGTGTTTCCTCCTCCTCCTTCTTCATCACATACAGTGACTATAGCGAGTCAGCTAGTTTTTTTCTTTGTGGTTCAACTTCTTCGATCGATTTATCCTAGTTTCGTTATCATATTTCTTCTTTGGAAACGATCATATCGAGGAGGTTCTTCGCTTAATGATTTACGCCTCGTTTGTTTTCATGACAGGAGGAGTCGCGAAGTTTGTTTGTTTGCTCGTTCGCATCACTTTTTGCTGGCTTATCCATTCTTTTCTTTGCATATTTTTCACTCTCTCACGGAACTGAACGGAACGGAATGGAAATTACGTTTGCCTTGCAAATGGCGACGTTGTTACGCATTCAAATTCGCGGAAGTCGCGTTCGCAACAGAAAGAAAAACTTTGCGAGAGATTCAACCAATCGGAATTTCTAATTTTCAGTGTGTTTTCCCTTCCAAGAAAAGAAAAAAAACTCAACTTCAAGCTTTTCCTTCAAAAATACAATAGAATTGAAATCAACATATTATTTGTTGCAATTCAAATTAATTTATAAAGTTAAAATTACTTTTTGTATACAAATAGATGATTTTTCTATGCACAAAGCTTTAAATATTGATTCACATTTTTACTTATCTCGATAACATAACTAAAGCAATTCCAAACTATGTCGCAATGAATTATTGATTTGGAAAAGTTTGCCAAAC